GCAAATGGTTTCATTCTTTCCTCAGAGAGGCTCATACGAATGTGTTCAAGACAACAGTGATGCAAAGTTAGAGCTGAGAGGAAATGGGATTTAGCTGAGTAAATCATAAGTGTCTGCCATGAGGGCAAACCAACATATTGAACTGAAATGTAGGAGTAGCCTCGGTGCTATAGAAGCATACTCAGATGATAAAAATTTAATCCTCTAATCTTCTCTCCACGCTAAAGACACTGGTGGAGAGGCAGGAAGAAGGGGGCTCTCCAGAGGGACCCCAGTGTGCTTGCTCACAGAGGAACTGCTCAGTATCTAACACAGACCCCATCACAAGCACGCCTGGAGGTCTGATCCCCCTGGAGCTGCAGTAGCAATGCCCGTTGGTACTTCAGCCCCAGAGGCATCAGACCTCCACACTCGCTTGCTGGCACGCTGTCTGTGCCCTGCTTGCTGCGGGGAAGCTCCAAGGGAATCTGGCATGGAACAAGCAGCTGGAAACCCAGCCCAGATCCAGTTGTGCTATTGAAATTGAATCTCCCACAGACAATTAACAGAAGCCAGAGGAGGCCCCTGGGATTTTTGTTTTTATAGGCTGGTTTGTCTTTTCTGGAGCGGGATTCAATGGTAGTGGCTGAGAGTTAAAAAATGCTTTTGAAAAATATCACTGCAGTTAAAAGAAAGAGCAACCTGCCTCTCCTAAACCTCCAACTTCAAGCCTGATATCTGCATTTTCCAGGCCATGCTACTTCTAAGGACTGCAATATCTTAGTAAAAAATGCACTTCTTTGTTACTTTACCAATATTTTGTGAGGTGCTGTTTTTTTCACCAGCAACTGAAAACTCCACAGCTTCATAATACATCTTTTGGAACATGCATACCCAATTGAAAAATAATTTTCTAGGTATTTTTGCTAGGTCTGTTTTTATGGAATATTAGTTCCTGGACTCTGAACTCAACTGATAACCAAAAGCAGAATGCTGTATCTCAGGAGCAAGGAAACCACCCTGGTCCCTGGTTTGTAATATGATTGAGATGGAACTGAACAATACAAGACTGAGCCTACTAAGGTCACGTGGCCCCATGAAAATACAGCTTTCTCTAAAACAAACAACTTCTACTTACGTAACTTCTGTTTAAAACTCATCTGTTACCACATGGCTAGTCTCAAAGTTGGTTATTTAGAGGAAGGTTGTAAACGTGATTAATTCTCATAGAATGAGTAGCAAAAGTTCAACAAGAGGCTCCATTGCAATGTCACTTTTGTCTCCAGGTCAGTCGAGTAATTTCTCAGAAGTCTAGAGTGTTTTAAGAAGTTATCCAAACAACAAGGCCAGCTTCTGCATTTATGCACTTCCATATAAAAACCCATTAACATTTCTACTGATCAGAATATTAATTACTGCTTCATTCTGCTCCCTCCCTCCCTCCGACCACTTATTTTCCCCACAATTCCCTCTCTGTATTTTTGGACTGGATCAAGAATTAAAGAAACGAGGTTAGCTTTGAGACTGAATGCGAGTAATAGCTGAAACAATCTACTAAAATTAAAATCTGTGTTACAGCCAAAGCAGATCATGCAGGGAGGCAGAGGCACAGTGACAACTTCTGACCATCTAGTAGGCAACTGCATCTTTAAAAGAGGCATGAGTGCTGCTCTCAACAGAAGCTGCCCCAGAGCTCACAGGGATTTTGGAGCCTGTATGTTGTCCTCATCACAACCTGCTTTCTCCCAGCTGAGGCTGTCATGACAGACAGGGGGTTGTGCTCCTGTCACAGCTGCTCTGAACTGTGGGGTGAAGGAAAGAGGGAGAGAGGAGGGTGAACATCTGGGGGCAGTAAAGTCTGGCTCAACTCGTGCAGCTCGGCTTGATGCGCTCACACGAACGCCCACTGCTCTGTTACCTTGTTCCTTTTCTTGTCACTCCCACGGAAAACAGATGTGGAATGTCACGTTATTTAGATTAAAAGTGCCACATCTGACACAGGGCCATGACTAAAGATGACGTGACAGATGGGAAGCAGCAAACTCTCAAGTCTTACGATGTGTGCACTTTCCTAATTAGCCCTAGTGTGTTTTCCTCATTTCGGTTCGTGTGACTGAGCTTATAAACAGCGAGGCACCTAATCTATTGATTAACAACTGCATCACATATGATAATACATAATTGCTAAAGGCCTGAAGAATCAGATTTGTCTCAGTTATTCATTATTTAGAAGTCAAAACTAATCAGATTCCACAGAAATCTGCTGTTCTCCCAGCTGTGCTTGGCCTAACAAGCCACCACCACCTTTTAGTGGATGTTAGTTCTGTTTTTAAAGAAACTGATCATGTATTTGAAGCTTCCACTACCACGAATTTGAAGACCTCAATGTACTGTGAGTGACACACGCTGAGGTCTCAACAGGCAGGACGCTGTTGAGAAATCAGAGGACATAGTGAAACATCCCTTTGTGTAAGAAGCAAATGCAAAACACTTGTGGCTTCAGTAAAATGTTTTTTCTCTGGCATAACATGGAAACAGGAAAGGCAAATGATAATTGATGAAAAAACATGACAAAAAAGACACAGGTTCCGAGAATTTAGCATTAGGCAAATGTGATTCACAGTGCTCACATCAATGCAATGTAATCCTGGCAGTCTGGAAACTTAAGTCTCCCCTTTGATGGGCATGTTGCTTAAATTCCCAGGGAATGGTGTGCATTTCAAGCATTATTATAAATAACATCCACTCTTTGGAAACCAATAAGGGCTTTAGTTGCATTTTTAAACACTTGTGTGTGAATGGTCTCATTAGTCATTTTTTCCACTTCATCTCTAGGCTGCATGTGTTTTTTGCTTATGAAGCACTGTTGCCTTGTTTTGTAGCCATAAAGAACTGCTCCAAGAATACCAATGTTTTAGAAAGGTTTTCATTCCAGACTTGTTCCTCTTGGAGAATTTAGACCTCTCCCACCACTGCCTTCTGATCCCAGTTCGTGAGCTACATAAAGTAATCTAGGAGGATGCTGGACCAGAATTTCAACAACTGACATTATGCAAGGGGACGACATTTTCTTCATCTATGCTATAAACCTCTCAACAGAAGTCGGCTACAGACAACTGTGAACATATGCTAAAGGAGGAATCCTTTCGACAAAACTCATGGATTCAAATGCTTCTTTCAGACTCACGTTACCCTGATTATACCTGTTGGAAAGGGGAAGCAGCCAGCCTGATTTGACACCTTGCTACTGAGGCACATGAAATTCTTCAGTACGTTAGCACTCAGCATACCTCCAAATGAAAAGTAAAACTGCACAAGTATAATAACTGTTATAAACGAGATTAAAACAACAAAAGATTCTTACGTTTACTTTTTATGTTTCTAAAAACATAGGCTGTAAAGAAAGAAAACAAACGAAAATTATTCTAGAGGGGAAATCAGCCAGAAGCTGACTGATTTTTCTAGCTGAGAAAAGCATTTTTTTTTCTGACATCTTTGTTATAATATTGTTTTCTGTATTTCAGAGCACCCCTCCATGTAACTCTAAATAGAGATTTATAAAAACTACATCTACAGATCCATTTTTTCCAAAACATCTGGATTTCCATATGCTAGATTTAGGTAAGAAATACCTACCAGGTGTGGAGTACTTTCAATTGTAAAGCACACCCATGGGAAATCACCGAGTCTGGGAATGAAAGAACTGTTTGGGGTTGGAAGTGACCTTAAAGGTCACTGAGTTCCAACCCCCTTGCCATGGGCAGGGACATCTCCCACTAGACCAGGTTGTGCAAGGCCTCATAAAACCTTGTCTGGAACCCCTCCAGTGAGGGACCATCCATAATTTCCCTGGGCAACCTGTTCCAGTGTCTTGCCACCCTCATAGTGAAGAACTTCCTTACATCTAATCTGTACTGACCTTCTTCCAGTTTGAACTCATTAACCCCTTGTCCTATTGCTACAAACCCTTGTAAAAAACCTCTCCCTAGCATTCTTGTAGGCCTCCTTCAGACAATAGAAGGCTGCAATAAGGTCTCCCCAGAGTCTTCACTTCTCCAGGCTGAACACCACCAACTCTCTCAGAAGATGATGTTTATCCTGAAACATGCTGTTCATTGGCTTAGGCTGCTCTGGGCTGCATCCAGTGGCCACAGTGCCTCCTTTGAGCAGAAGGAGTCAGGACCCAGCTGGACCCATTACTTCCAGGGAGGGTGCAGGCTGGCCTGTTTTTTGACAGGTGACATCACTCTTCAGTGATATGCAGAGTATATGGATGTGTACCTTGATCTGTGCATTACAAAGCCTGATGATAGCACATATCACTTTGAGAGTCCATGCTCATATTCAGCCCTGAACCCCAAGTGAAACCAAGGAGCTTTCAGAGCTGTAAATTCCCATCTGACACATTTCCTTCCCTCCCTCAAATACACCACAAAGACTTTGGCCCCTGCTTTGCAATGGATAGTGAAAATACACTGCCTGGTTCTTGCAAAGTTCAGAGAGCGGGGTCAGCGTGATGGTTACAAACCTGTATCAGCTGGGCTGCGCTCTCTGGACTGCCGTACCGGTGGTCGTGCCCGTTGATGGCCAACACCCGGTCGTTCTCCTGAAGCTGTCCATCACGAGCAGCCACACCGCCTTGCAACAAGTTGAAAATAAATACCCCCGGTTCATCAGCCTTGCGGACCAGCTTTATCCCCAGCTGCTCGTCCGGACTACTTTTGTTCAGCACGACGTGGAAGCTGTCGTCCCTGGTGCAGTGAGCATCAAGGGAGAGCCCGCCGTGCCGGCACCGGTACCTCTGCTCGCGGAGCACTGTCAGTCGGAGCACGTGGCAGGGCTGCTTCAGGATTGACAGGGCATAGTTGTGAGGCACATTTTTGATGTCCATGCCATTTACCTGGAAGAGAGAAGTGTAAATCGGCATCAGAAAGACCGTCTCATCTGAACTGGCACTGGAGAGGGCAGATCTATTTACACAGATGTCTTCATACAAAGTGACATGTGCTATTTCAAACTGTGTCACACAGGAGGCCAAGTCTGTGGTGCAGAACAGTCTTCCCCCCAAGGAAAGGACATGTTGTACAGACACTTTCTGCCTTTTTTTCCCCCCTTTCTCCCTGATAATCTCCAGACATGCGTGTTATTTTTCAGCTATAATATTGCTCTTTCCCAAACTCCAGTATCCTTTCATATATCTTAGTTTTCACAGAGTCACAGAATCATTAAGGTTGGAAAAGATCTCTAAGATCAAGTCCAACTGGGACTTTTGTTGCTTCTCTAGCTTCCGATTTCAAATCACCTTGCCAAACTTTCCTTTCACTCCCACCACTTCCTTACTGTTTCTCTTCTTCATTATCTCCCAAACACTCTGCAAACAGTAAAAGAAATGATCCACACTAACAAATTTCTAATTAAAATGAAGAAAAGAGCCTTAAATGGAAGTTTGAATGCCCTGGATATTTACTAGCATTTATGCTGTGTTACCCCATCAGAGAATCTTGCTTTTTACGTTTCTCAGTGTTTTCCAGGTAAGATTTAGCTCACATGGCAGTAAAGCTGCGCAACTGCCACGTCTTCATTTTGGCTTGGGTAAAGAAAGAGAAAAAAATAAAGAGATTCCAGTCAATACTGTAATTTCTGTGTGTGTAAGAGTGACTAGGCAGCGTGCTTTATCACTGCTAAATGAAAACCAGTTGCAAGGCTGTCATTTGTTGCTGACTGGAAACCCCAAATCAGACAAGCTATTTTCACATAGTTTTACATTACACAGGTTGAACCATTTAAATATTAAGAAATGTCTCTGAACTGCAATAGAAATGTTCCCCAGCACGGACAACAGCATTCGACTGGGATTTGTTTTTGCAGGCTGCCTGTTTGGGCATGATGAGACTCTGTCCCCACCGTGGCCTGATGGGAGGGTTGCACCTTTAGAGAAACAGACTTTAAGTTGCCAGCTTGGGTAGCACAAATGGCATGTGCTGCACCAGTTCAATACGGGGCTGAAGTTGCTGAGGATCCTCTGTAAAGCCATGGCCAGGGAGAGATGAGCTGGGCCTGTCCTGCAATCACAGTTTCCCACTACAGTCTGGATGTGCCCTGCAGGCAGCTTTTGCTCAGTGGTGCCATTAACTGTGCTGCTCTGTGCTGGCACCAGGACAAAAAGCCTTCCTGAAATGCACAACCAGGTGATACTCATCCAGCTGCCACCAGGAACCACAATCCAGAGGTATGTTTAAACAGTGCCGAAGTGTAGTATGCCCCTTGAAATCCCTTTGGCCACAGTCTGTCAGACATGAAGCAGAAGTCATGTCACAACCCTGACATGCCTCAAGTGTCAGCTCACTACCACTGGGGTCAGCAAAAGCTAGAAAGCACAGAGGCTTACACATGGTGCTCTGAAATAGAAAGGATGGTACCCTTAACAGTTACATGTAATACATAGTAGTACTAGTTGGTAGGGCCTGGAAGAACTGCTCACAAACTCTAGAAGGCAGGCGTGCCAGAGCAGGCAGAAAGATGGGCATCCAGAGTCCCACCTCGAAGATGACCCTGAGATATACATGTCAGACCTTGCGGCCTTCCAGCTCCTATAGACTTATCCCAGCTAATGCTACACTGACTAACCTGGGTGCCAGCACGAGTCTATCCCTGGCAGCATGGTCCCCAGTGAACAATGCAGCCTGCTCAGACGTTTACCTGCAATATGGAAAATCTGTGCTGAGTGAGCATTTTGCTATCTCTCCCACGCTGTCACCAATCTTTGAGCTAGCTGATTCAAGCTGCCTGGGGTATGCCTGGGTGAGCTGCAGCTGTACCTGTGGCTGGCAATGAGAATGCACCTGTGCACTCCAACTACACACCACCCAAGCAGGGAAAGGAAACAGTATTTTCTGTCATTACTCTTTTCTTCTAAGGACTGAAGCATTAATATATTGTAGCATCCTTGCAGAGCTCCAGGTTTCTGGGGCAGCTGAAAGTGCAATTCCCATTCAAACACCAGTGCTGAAGTCACTGCTCACAAGACACATGATCTTTAACCATCTGGCCTAATTCTTGTTCATCTGTTACACATTTCTATAGAAACAGGAGCAGAAGTGGCAGCCAACAGCTAATGCCTGAACACTGCACAAGTTTGCTCTAGATATTTCACCTGTGGCTGCCTGTGAAGCAACACTCCCAAAATAGAGCAGGCAGCGTCTCACACTCCACAGTGCTGAACACATCATACAGAGGAGCTAGATGCTGAAATAACTTAACCCTGATCAGGTCCCTATCACCCATCCTGGTTTAAATGGGATATAAGGCAATGGAAACTTCACTTACTGAGATTTAAGCCCACCATTCAGTAGAAACAAACTAGGCAAAAAGCCCAGCCCCTGCCTTCAGAAAAAAAACCCTTTTGCACCCCTGGGGCAGAAATGCCAACAGTCTATTGTGCTACCTTGCATTTCAGATCTACCGTGTTTGAAGAGAAATCAGGGAGGCCTGATAGTGAATAGGAAAAATAAACAAACCTGTGAGCCTGAAAAACTGTTGAAATGAATGAAAAGATCACAGCCCAGAGGGTTCTGCATGCATCATTCTACCCCCACAAACAAACATCACTGCAAATCTCATCTCCCGATCAACTTAGATGGTCTTATTCTTGGTACAATACTATACCTTTAGTATCATGTCTCCAGGCAGCAATCTTCCATCTCTGGCAATTACTCCATCTCGATAAATATGCTGTATAATAATGTGAACCAAAGGAGTTTCACTGCCTCCCACAATCCTAATGGCCAGGTTTTCATGGGGATCGGTACGGTTGATCTTAATGCAGGTAATTTCCCCATCAGGAATCAGGTGATACAACCTGGGAAAACCTGGAAATGCACATGGTAAGGTATTTATCTGACATCGCAGCTTTGCTGTGCTAAAACATGCATTGCATAACTTCAAGTACCTGTCAGTTATCCAAATCAGGATTTATGCATGGATGTGATTTATACTAAGTGGGAAGTGGACTTGAAGGGATCTTTTTTTTAATTAATACATTCAAACTTACTTTTTTTTTCTCCTCCCCCCATAAAACACAGCCCTAAACCTTTGGTATAATCCAGACAGATGAAATGTGTTTAAAAACAGTTACATGCCTATGTTAATATTTTAAAGGAACAACAATACATTTGTAGTCACTAGAGGCATCTCTGACCTGGGCCACAGTTCCTTTCTGGCCCTAAAGCAGATGGTCACAGACACCTTAATAAACATCCATCCCTGCTATGGTAGCTGCACATACTGTCTCACTGGTAGCATCTCAGGATGCTCTGTTTTCCTCCATTTTTGGTGCTATAACTGAGGACTGGACGCTTGGCTTGTGACATCCAAGGAAGTGTGTTTTCACCTTCTGTTACAGAAGGGCAAGGTTTCTCAGGCAACCCAAAGGACACACCAGTTGTCCTACCATATCCTTTCATCAGTGCTTGAACTCAAGGAAGCAGGAATTACTAGCTCCTCCTGCGATCTGCCTGCATTAAAACCACAGTATGTTTAAGGTGCCTGGAGGGAAAGATCTCTGCTGGCCCTGGCAGTCTGGACATGAGGAAGAGGGATCAGTAGTGGGCAGGGGTCCTTTTTGTATTTGTAATGCACTGGGTAGGAGTATCCTCTTCGAAACTCTACTTTTCAATGACATTTCTTTCACAATGTGTCACTAATCATTTCTTTCCTTCTAGATCAAGTAAGAATTTTAATTCACATTCAACAGTAAGTTAAATCACCAGTGAATTTTCAAGAACAGGCATGTCAGTCTTCAATTATTTGGAATCCTTCATAAGTGAGAGAAAGCTTTTGATTTTTTTTGTGTTTGGATTTAATCCAGTGCTTATATGAATAACCTGTATGTCGAAAAATTAAGTGATAACATGTTTTCAATAACCTATTTCACAATTGAAAGTACAGTGATTGTTACTGAATAGCAGTAAAGTGTTAAATGAAAGTTAACAGAGCAGTATCTGAGACAGAATAAATATTTTCTACTACAGAATTAGCAGACAACAAACCAGCAAGGCACCAAAACCTTTTGGGAGAAAGCAAGGGGAAAGAAAGAACAGGGGAAAAAAATAAATATTAAGAAACACCATGTTGCATCCCTTACCACTTCTTTGATCATATGCTCTCCGGGGCAGGAAACTGTCTTCCTCCACGTCTGTAAAAAGCACCTACCGGTAGCACAGACTTCGACTTTGTGGTTTTACACAGAGTTGACAGGCAATAAAAAAAAAATCTATCTAGATAACTATACAGCCTTCATCAACCTAATATTCAAGTGTTCATTTGGTTTATACTCTCATAGCAGCAGTTTCTGCTCCAATATGGATTTAATTCAGTTTTGCACACAACTTTAATGTCTCAGGAATGGAAGATGTTTTATTTTCCCCATAGTCCTCTATTTTTTGAATATTACTTGCCCAACTTGTAACTTGTTCATTTCTTTCTATCCCTGAAGGGTAGATTCACTCCATTTAAATCCAGGTCTTTAAGTCAAACGCATAATTTGATGAACAATTTGCTCTGGTTTATTCATTACAGTGAATGGGAACCAAAGCCAGTGATACTCACTTCACCGCTAAATGGCTCTTGGAGGTGCTAAACTCCCTCCATTACTATGAAAGAAGAAAGAGGCAATTAACTCTGGCATCTCAGTGGATGTTTAAAGTCAGATAAGTACTCCTCAAAAGTTACCAAAGGTCTGATCCCTGCATCAGAATAAGCATTCATATTTTACACTCTCGGTGTGGCTCTAAGGGCATCTATACGTAAAAATGCAAATGATAATCTGGATCCCCAGATCTTCTCTTCATGGAAAGAGCATAAACAAATATCTCCATATTTTTTGCAGACTACCAAAGCAATCCTATAGCAGAACTACTTCCATTTCCCATTGCATGATGATTCATCTCATGTCCTAACAAACTGTGTTTTTTGACTAAAACACTCATTCCTCCACACCTTATTTCAAATTGTTTTCTAAATTAATTGCCTAGTTACATATTTCTTGGTCACAGATAACTGTGGACTGACTGATGACGCCCTCACGTTATTTCAATTTGCAGTTATCCCAAAAGCAAAATCAGTGCAACGTGACATTCAATGATTCTCTACACTTTTATAAGACTTACATATATCTTTATATAATGTCTAAATTTATATAAGTTTTTTTGCATCTTGAACAATGTCTTAACTCATTTATTAAGTCTTGCAGTGGAACTTTGTTGACTTTCAATATGACTTTATGCAGATTCTCTTAAAAGAATTTTTAATACTTGAATTTCTTCTGCAGTGTGCAGGCTGCAACAAAACAAACCTTGCCAAAACATTATTCTTGCCAGTCTGCCAGCATTAAAATTTCTCTTTTTACAGTTAGCAAGATGTACTTCATCTCCTGTCTTAATTTGATTTGTCGTCTTTATAAAATGTAATTAATTGCACCATTTTCTCCTCACACAAACCAAGCAACCAAAATAGCTCCATGATCCACTAATTTATGCTCTCTTCATTGAAAAATTGCCTTGTTTTCTTCCAACACATAAATGTGGATATTTGCAATACCAACAACTTAAACTATAATAAATGAAAGGCCAATGCCTGCTTTGACAAACTATCAGTAAGTCTGACAAATTAAACGTATAAAATATACAAGTTGGCTTTTTTTAATAAGAAAATCCATTATCATTTTTCACCATACATTGTGTGCAGTTTGATCAAAGCCTACCATGCCTGGAAAGCAGTGTCTTCAACCTGAATTTTTCTTATATATATACCATAGCCAGAAGAGGTGCACCCTGCTCCAGCACCAGGTTGCATACACCAAATGAGGTCTCAGCAGCCCAATTTAAGGGACTCCAGCTGGGCTGAGAGCTTGTACACCGTTCACATACACACAGCCTGTTGTGAGGCTGGAGCACCAGTTTGCACAGACCCCATTTTCCAGTTTTTACACTCTTGATTAGAATTCTCTGTTCTCTTTGACCAGGTTTTCCAGAGTAGGAAAACCTAGGAGTGTTGCATACCTTTCTTTACCATTTTATATTTCCAGTCCTTAAATATCGAAGAGCTGCTGAATCTAGAAAGAAGTAAACTTTCTGTCTTGTTTTTGGTGGTTCTTGCAGATTTTCCCACAGAGTGTTGTGTTTTTGTCACCGGGGGTTGTATGGAGCATTCTGAATCTGCCAATATAATAAAATGTCATCTGCATTCAGAAAGACTGTGTGTGTTTTCTCCTCAAGCAATATTTTCCTTATATTAGTGTTCAATTTTTTTGATATTTCACACATACCATTACAGTAACAGATTACATAGGAGACACCAGCTTCACACTGTAAACTCCACTTGTCTGGTATGACACAGAACACCGAGCACTCATTAGTAGAGTGACCATTAGACTGTGATACAGAATTTTAAGTATGCTTAGTATTTTATCCCCACCCTCTGTAATAATGGTAATGTTCCTTTGGTGATCAGGTTTTGGTTGACTCCTGTGTGCTCCATGCTTCTTCTGACAGTGCTACCATCAGGATAACTTCTGCCTTCGTTCCTAGTATCCAGTGTGACAAAGCACTGTGTAATGTTTGCTATGACTATTGATTCCAGATTACTCAAAGGTCACTGTAAACAAAACATGTCTCAGGTTTCAAGTCTTTGTTTAGATCAGAAAATCTGACAGATGTGAGGAGCCATCCCACCCCCAGCCCCCCCTGAAAAGGCTATCTGCAGGCACACATACTCATGCTTCCCAGCACCTGGTCACCAGAATTTAAATGAAGCTTGTGTAACCTATTCTTGGAAAATTCTTGTGTCTGCAAATGTCACATGCATTTACACTAGTGTGGGATTTTGTTTTGCAGCTCTTCCTTCCCAACTGATTTTCATTTAGCATTTCATTCTCCCAATGGTTTGCCATAATTTTGATCTAATGCCTTCCATTAATTCTTCAGGGATTTTGGTCTGATGCAGGAGGCAGGCAGAAGGCAATGCCAGCTCTAACCTCACTTCCTGCTTCTAGACATCTCTCTTACCAAATGAGTCCCAAAAGAACTAAAACTACACTGTTGTAGAATTGAATGAGTCTCAAGAAAAGTCGTGGCTATCTCATCTACAGCAGGCAAAGCTTATGGGTCTGCACTGGAGGAGATGCTACAGAGCCAGTCTCTTGGAAATTGCCTGGCTCACCATCCTAGAGCAAAGTGCTTGAAAGCAGTTCTGTAGGATTTCCAACAGGTGTTCTGGAAAATCAGAACTGTATCTGAATCAAAACTAGGGAAAACAGGAACAGCGTGAGATTCCTGCAGGGTGCAGCCTTCCTGAGCCAGAAGTTGGGCTGTGCTTTCTTGTCCTGGGGCTGGACAAGCCACTTAGTTTCCTGCACGTAGAGAGCCTTAATGCTGGGAAATGGTTGGTACCTAGAGCCAGCTCTGTTTCACTTACCTTCTTTTTCTTCATGTACCTTTCCCAAACATTGAAGTATCTATAATATCTATCTCTTTTTTATGTATATAAAAAAAATACAACTCAGGTCAGACTGTAGCAGTAGGAGTGAGATACATCCATATAACACAAAAGTCTGTTCTGTGATCTTGCCAGGGCCTGCCAGGGCTGCCTTGGTCTTGACTGCTGCAGAGCAATAACAGATGGTAGAACTGCACCCACCACGAGACTAAGAAGAATGAGTTTGACTTTGAACAACATTCGACATCCTAAAGCAATCATAAACTCAATTTATTTTACAATAGATTGACTGCAAAATGGAACCAATGAATGTTTTTGAAAAGCAGAATCACACCTCTCTTTTACTGTAACATTGTATAAAGATTTTGCAATTGAATTCCCAAATTATTTCCTCCTAAAGGATTAGCTGTTTTGCCACTTTGTATTTATAGATCTGTTTGAGTAAAGAATATATATGAGTGTGTGCATATATGCATATATATATATATATGGTCTTTCTTAGAAGCAAATTTAAAGACTGTGATGCCAACTGAAGAGCAATCTTTGCTTGGAGATATTTTATCATTTAAGTAGATTGTCAAGGTCATTTACACTAGTAGATCCAGTCAGAAGATATTACATCTTAAGTGCATCAGTGCCGGAAGGATGTCCCTGTCACCTTCCCTTACATCTCAGAATGAAACCATCTCTTTTAAACTTTCCTAACTCCTGCTTCAGATCTGGAAAGCTATTTGTTGCTGTAAGTGCTATTAATGAAATCACTTTCAGGTAGATACCATAGGCTTGGCTGCTGTCTACAGACAAATACTTCTTTGCATGGCTTATTTGTCAATGATCAAGCTATTAAAAATAAGAAAATCTTAATGCATCATTCTCCCAAGCATATTATCATCAGTGTTTGCAATTTTCATTCACTTCTAACATTTTCTTCAGTTTGGACAATTAAGAGAACTTTCTGCTGAAAGTATCACCAAAACATTTGAACAGATGAACAAAAGAAATCCTGAATCATTGAGACCCCAAATGGGTGCATATGGCATTGTTTAAATAAATCAAACCACAGGCTGCAAATGGAAATCATGAAGTAATTTTCACAGTGCAGGACTGCTACCAGCTCCAGGTATAAGATAGCATCAGATTGTAACTATTTCTCTGCTATAATTATAACAGAAACACATTTGCTATTATACATAATATTTTTCAGTGTCCCAGGGTAGCAAAGGAGTTTTCCAAAACCAGTACTGCATTCAGCTTTAAGTTAAGCAGAATCATGATCACTTGAATATTTTTTTTCTCCCACATCAGGAATAATTACTTTGTCTCGCACTCTCATAGTCCTATTGCAACTGAGCATTGGTTCCACAGACATATCAGCTTCAGATTAAAGACACCTACATGCTCTGCAGTGGACATACAGTAAATTTGACATCAGTGCTGTTGACGCTGAGGGCTGATACACAGGTAAGTACTATGGTTTTCACTCTCAGAGCTCCTTTGACCAAAACACAGGCAAAATGTAGATTGAACAGATACTTCTGAACTAAGATGAGGGAATTTTGAAAACTGAGGACAGATGGACTATAATACATTGAGCTTTGCCAGATCATCTGACAGCTCCTTTATCATCAAGAGGTTATCAGCAGAAGAGGTTATTTCATTCTGTGCCCACTGTGAGGCTGGCACAGTCTCAGCTTTGTTCTGCTCACTGACTAAGCCTGGTGAGGAAAGGTGGCACCAAAGAAGTGGTGAGGTGCTCTCCGGTCTCCTGGAGCAGAGACATGGCTGAGGTGTGCTCTAAAGTGGACCCAGACATGAACCTGTGAAACTTGGGGCAAGGCAGCAGCAGCAGCTTTCACACTAGGTGTGGGGACCTTCAAGGCCAGGAACCACCACCCACAGTACCACCTCTGTTCTCAAGACAGCGGTATGGCAATGGGGACACAAACACATGGGATTGCCTTTTTCCCATAGGTGTGGGGCTGGACTTAGCAAGCACAGGGTAGAGCATACTGCAGCTATCCTTAAAGATTGACCAGCAACAATAATGCAGAGTCCAACTGTGGAGTGCTCAGAACAGCTGGGGATATGAAAAAAAAAAAGAGGAAGACATACGAAATTGGAGAAAGAAACAAGCCTCCAGCTGGCAGGGTGGTAATAACTTCTATGGGAAGAGGTACACTCATTTCCCCCTCCAATGAGAAGAAACAGAGAGAGCCTTCGAGATGCCATTACACAAAGCACATGTTGCAAAGAACTGAGTAGATGTCTTTGTTATACTGTTCTATTCGTACTGCTGCAAGTTACTTGTTACATTTTTTTAAAGACCAAATTCCAGAACTGTAATCAAAACGCATTCTTTGCGTATGTAATTAATACGGTAATTTAGGTACCCAGCTTCTGTGATCTCATATGTAAGAGTAAGTGCTTATTAAGTAATTACATGCCCACCTGGTTTTTCCAGTGCAGTAGAATATATATGGAAGTTTACAGGCATGCTTGGTGTAGAGGAATGAAACCACAAACAGAGCCAAAGAACAAATCACAATCTTGACACTGTTAATGGGGCCCTGAAGCGACTACCACTTCAGGGCCCCACTATATACCCCTTAAAAAGAAGACAATGAGTTTTTTCATTCTGTTAGAAATGTAAGGACAAGTGTCATCTTCGCATCTCCTTCTGTTAGCATCTAGACCGCACTGGGTTACTGGATAGATACTGTTGGCATCCAGATCATCCACACGTTCTAGACATGAAACCAAGCTTTCAGAGGAGCTAATGCCAACTATAAACCTAGGTAGAAAACAGTCATAAAAATGTCTATGCCTCATCCTGAAGAGGTGTCTTTTGAAAAGTATGAACTTCAGACATACAGAATTCCACTTGAGGTGAAGAAGGGCAAACTTTTGCTTACAGTAGATTTAATACTTGCTAGGGAATTAGAAACATCTGTCTGCTCTAAGAGACACATAGACAACTTATTTGCAAAATTTTACTTAGGGAAAAACAAAATATTTGGGACACTTAAGTTATTAATAATGTTTCCAGGTAAAGGAGGAGATTTACATTATTTTAATGGAGAAAGTTCACAATTTTGAATTATCAGGTTTTATTTTGGTTACATCAGCAAGTAGATGGACTAGTAGAGGACTAGCAAGTACCAAGAAAAAAGTAATGTACTGAAATTCTCAAGAAGGAATAAGCAAATAAAGCAGAAGAAATATTAAACACTATTTTCTGACTCATCACTTCAAGAACAACAATGCCTAAACACAGCATTTGGGAACCTTTTGTCCCTGTTTTGTGTGGGTTTCAATGACAGTTTGAAATACAGAGCAAAAGGAAATTGAGCATTTTGTCCCCTTAAAGCCCTTACCCTGGACATTTCATCTGCGAAGAGACATGAGGTGCTGAGGCATCAAGCTAAGGAATAATAAGTTCAGTGAAGACCTTGATTAAGGCAATGATTCCCACTCATCATCACTTCCTCTTGATGCATGAATGTTAACGTTGGCTTTGTAATTACAGTCCAAAGCAATTAGTAACATTTACTTACTGCTTTGAGAATGCCAAATGTTTAGTGTTACTGCCTGCCAGACCCCTCATCCTTGACACACGTCAGACAAACTTGCCTCTCCCCTGTTTAAGAGAGGAGTATTCTTACCTCATCACCTGTCTAGCTGAGGTAATACAAGTCCGTCACCAAGAATTCCACAGAAGTGCTGGAATAATTACAGTACTTTGCACTTTCATACTATCCTCCCACTGGGAATTTCCAGTGCTTCATAAGCACTAGCCACAACTCATGAATTTCCTACGATGTAGGATCACCGTGATCCATTTGCTTTAGGGAGACAGACACATGCTGATGAAGCCTCTTGAACAAAATGATAGAGCAAATCAATGACAGCTCCAGTAATAGATCCCAGACAGACTAATTCCACATTCCGTGTGCTAGATACTTGTCTGGCTGTAGCACGCAGGTTCTTACCAGAACAGCCCTGTACAAGGTCCCCCACACCCCAACAATATTTATGCCTGTCAGTCACTAACAACTTTTTAAAGAAGAAAACAAGGAATGATTGACTTTTTGGGTTGATCACGCACAGCCCACCACATGAAAGGCACATCAGAGAGGAACATCCAGTTCCCACATGGATAGGGTCCCCTGCCCCATTTTAAGTGATAACACAAGGAGAATAAAGTATTACCTTCTTCTCCTGCCACGGAGTTTCCAACAGTCTCCCTTTCCTGGTCAGCCTGGTTGGAAACAGCACTTCCACTTTTCGTCCTTCGAAGGGCACTGAACGCCTTGTTTATTTTTTTAAAAGATCTGCTCCTTATAGTGGAGCGTTCAAAGTGTCGAGCTGCAATGGCAGGGAAAAACAAATCAACACAGTTCAGCAGTTCTGGGCTAGAAAAAAAAAACCCAAAACCCAACAAAACACCAAAAGCAATGCTTCTAAAGACACCAGTGATAGCCAACAATTTCATGTCAAAAAATTTGCAGATTATCAGGTCGAAGGGACAAAGTAAGTCACATCTTCCAACGTGGGTCAGGCAATTAAAAAAGGCATAATACTTTCAAAACATGTCATTCTCTTCCGTCCTGCTGCAGATGTCTTCGTAGTTGTTGCTGTTCTGTCTCTTCAAGCTCTGCATGTTATAGCCAAACATTATAATCTAATAATATAACATTCCCTCAAACCAGACTGTGGCCTCTTAACTCAATAAAGCTGGCAGGATTTAATTTTATTTTGGTGTTCTCTTCTTACCCCCTCCCTTTCCTTGGCTCTCTAGTCGGTGCATACAAGAGGATAATACTGCTCATTTTCTAGTACTTCTTCAGCCAGCCCTTCATCCTTTCTCCCAACATGCAGTTGATGCAACACAAGGTGGGCTATTCATTTTGGCTTCAGAATCCTCAAATACAAGCTTTGGAATCACCATTAAAGCTTCAATGTCTGTCTTTGGCCAGGCAATACTTTTCAAATATAATGCTCATCAGAGCCAGTTGCAGTGTCACAGGGTGAAAGATCAAGGGAAGGTTTCCCTGTGCAACTTGTCCCTGACTGATTATGTCAACAGGGCCAGCTCCTCTGAGCTGCACCTCCCTGGAAGGCTGGCAAATATTTCCCAACCTCCCAAGACACTTCTTAATTTTGTTTTCCTGTGAATACTTGGCAACTGCCAAACACAGTTCCAAACAATGGGTAGGTGCCCATGGCATGGTCTGTGGGCGTTACTTAGGCCACTGTGTTTGGGGGAAGAAGCCATTACACAGCTACACCATCTCCCCAGCACATCACACATACCATTTGCTCTTCCAACTGAGATGATTTGCCCAAATACTCTTTTTTTAAGACCTGTAGTCCATCTTCAACTTGACACTGCCCTTGACCAAGCAAATTTGGTTTTCACTGAAAATCTGTAGGATCATTGAGTGCGGTTTCCTGAACCATGCAAAATTGAAGCTTTTAGTCTCTTTTTCTTTTTTTTTTTTTTTAAAAAAAAGCCTCCAACAACATATATTTCACAGAAACCAAATGCTGAAAGGTGCCGCCACGCTCTGAAACAATCACTTTTAGCTCTTACTTCTGTTTCGGTTGCTGTGATGCAGGTCTCCGGGGCTACTGCCTGAATGGCTGTCCTCTGAGGTGGGGCTGAAGGCTGGGTTCACCAGCCCTGGCTCATCTGTCATTAAGGCGATGGCTGCAGCTGCTGAGAGCTCAGGGCCCAGGGCAGCTACTGCTAAGCTGGAGCCATGGTCTGGAGAGCAGTCTTGGGAACGCCTCTTTCGTTCCTTGGTAAGGCCATAGTGGGATGCTCCTTTACATCTAAGAAGAAGGGAGGGAAAGGGAAACATGATAAGAAGCTGGTTTTAAATGTTGTGTACTTAGGAATATCATTCAGTGCCAAGGAATCCCTTGGCATGCAAACTGTGACAGTCATGGTGGCAGATGAAATACAGATGCTTAACAAGCGGGAAAAATGCCAGCCCTATGTTACACAAAATCAAAATGAAGGAAAACTGTCCTTCAGAGTAGCTGAGTTACCACCTTACATGGAAAGACTACTAGTCAAGAAAAAACAGAGAGCTACAGCCCTGTGTGAAGTTTCGTGTGTATAAATAGTTACTGTGGATGCAAGAGGACAGGAACAGCCCGTGCAAAATGAACCCAGAGGCTACCGTCTGTAATTTCCTTCTTGCCTCTGGTCAGTGAAGGAGTGTAACGTGAGGCCTAACAGCTTCCCTAGGTCTGCTCATGAATTAAAACACTCCTAACAATGCCCTACATCCTGGAAAACCTTCCCAGTCACCAAGGCGGCCAAACCAGGTGCACAGTGTTGTGGTCTTTCATGCAGGAGGCAGGGTCTGCCCTTCAGGTAGAGGCCAATGCAATTAATGAAGGGAGGGCTGCAGGCAGGAGTCCAACACCCAGGCTCTGTAGGGAATCAAGTTCCCACATGGTACTCATACCATTTACTACTTGAACTGCACCTGATCAAATTCATCAATGAAGATGAAGTTCACAGCTCTGCTATTCCAACTCAATTGAGACACTAAAATAGAGGGGTTGATTCCTTGGTGGAGGAAGAGGTACAAGAGGTGGTGGGTGGCCCCACAGCCCCACCAGAGCCAAGGAGGGAGCACAAGACTCCCACTGAATTACTGAGCACAGGTCCTCAGACCAAAATCCTTAGGCCAGTCTGGGACTTCACCTGTTTGGGGAGCTCAAGGCTGGTTCTAAAATATTTCTGGGGGAAAATACAAATCCTTAATCCTAACTTGAGCTCTGCAGTGACAAAATCTTCCATTTCTGGTGAAGACACACATTTCCAGAAGTGCTGAAGAAATAACATTGTAAGAGGCAAATTACAAGCCTGCTTTGAAACAACTTACTCGTGGTTCCAGATATCTGCTATTGATTCATCCTAGACAGCAAAGGTAGGACCATGCATTGTATTTCTTAAAGCTTGTTAAAGAAAGTGATTTGAATGAAGCTAAAAGTCATTGTGCTCTTCATGAGTCAGTATTTAATTAAAGCTGTAAAGTAACTGAAAAGACAGAACAGCCCAAGAACACATCACCTGTGACTTTTCTCCAGCATCACTTCTGCCCAGCATCCACCTACTAGAACCTCACTCATGACATTTTTTAAAATCTGCCTTTTAATTATAATCTAATGAGCTCTCCCTACTTTCAGTTACTATCTCTTTCTTCATAGCAAAGGCTAACTTTTCAGAAAAGTGCCCTGTAGGACAAACTCACAGAAATAGCTGCAGAAACCCTTAGGGATAGAAAGCTCTTCGTAATATATGACATGCACCAAAGGCAATGCATAATACATACAAGTACACGAAGCTAGTGGGTTAAGTGTCAGAAAAAGAAGTAGTAGACTCAACAGAGGTCTTGGAAAAGAAATGATTTCTGGAAGCTGTTCCTAGGAAGTTGAGGATGAGTCACAGAGCTCTCTATATCAGCTTCAGAGCAGCCATTTAATTTCTTTTCTGGTATTAGCTTTATATGAGAGACAAGTGAATTAATTTTTTTTTTTAGCACTAAATTATGATTTACAATCATTTAGCTCACACTGCTTCTGACAACTTTTGTCTTAAAGAGGGAAAATAAACCACAATCCAAACTGCCTCATATTAATGCTACTGTGTAAGGGCTTTGCGTATGCTCTAAGGTTTGGATGGGAATTGCTGTGACAGGAGTTATCTCTGAAACCTTTCACAAGCAACATGAGGCATCTTGAAAGGAAATATTTTTATGGAATATTCAAAAGATCAACAAAAGCTATTGGGGCACCTATTCCAAGTCAAGACTGCAACAATAATTGTGTATAACAGTAAGGAGGGGCTCTCCTGCCTCTACTGCAACACACATTTTCCTATTTCTTCCCAAAAAAAAAGAGAGGTGTAATCTCCTTACCCCCCTGGCATCCCACATCATGGCAGGATGCTATCTTTTATATTTCATGTGGAGTAGAGACAAAAAGGCCTTCTCCTCTTGCAGGCTACTTAAACTTCTCCAACACATCATTTTGGGAACCTGTCCTTGACTTCTGCCACTTGCAGTAAGGTCACATTTACCAATCCAGCCAATGAATGTTCAACAAAATAGTTAAAAAATAGTCTAAAAAGCCAACACAATGAAATGAACACAAAGAAATGGCTTCAGGGTGAATAGTTTGCTGTTCCCAAAAGACAATCTCTGTGCTACAGAGGTCCTTAAAAGATTCAGAATATGACATTATTCCTACTCCACATTTTATTTCCCTCTGTTTACTCATGCCAGTAAAATTTCAGCAGCTGACATTAAAGCACCAGCTTTGTGAATGGGTCCTCAAATGCAGATCTGTATTTTTACTGGGCTCCATGAAGATCAACACGAAGATCAGAAATGGCTCTGTCCAAAGACACCCAGCTGTATGAACTCAGCCACTGTGTGGTGTCCATCTGCACTTCACTACTAAAGCCTTCATTTTCTGTGGAAATCCTCACTCAGGGCTGCTGGCTGCATGGCAGACACGCTGTTAACAGCATCAATCCAACAGCAATGAGCAGAAGACAGTTACTTTGAATGTAGAGAAGGCTGACACAGTTTAAGATGTGGCTCATTGAAGAAGACAAGTTGTCATGATACAAAGCACAAGGCATATCTTTCTAACTCTGCCAGAAATAGTTAAAAGAGAACCAAAGCTCTTCAAGTATGAGCACTGAAGCTATTTCTTAAATAACTGTGGCAGGCATAAATGAACACACATCAAGCCTTCTTTCTTCAGATTAATACAGTGTCCTTGAAGAAGAAAAAAAGTCCCAAGCCCTCAAACTTGTAACAAAATCTGCAACAGCATCTCTTCACTTTCATTGTTTTCCTTGTGCTGACACTGCTGTGATAACAAAAAACAGAAGAGATGACTGTCTAAGTGGAATCATATTTATAGTGTCTCAGCTACGTTTTCCCATATGGTTGCATTTGGCTCCCAGAAAAAAGAGATCCATAAAACAGCTACATGCCAGTACTAATTATCTCTGTGATAATTAATCAGCTGCTTGATTTATAGCTAGAAGAGTAGGATACCTGATTAACATAGGCTAGTCAGAAAGTGAACCCAACACTGTCTGGTGGCCAAGGTAAAATACAGATTTATGTTCCTTCCCAGCCACGTCAGAGAGCAAGTACATCCGTGCAGCCGTATGATACTGAAACAATTTGAAGGCCAAAACTGAGCGAGATAAACAGACATGAATAATGTGTCATGCCATTACAGTAGTGTCACTAGGTCCATACAGGAAATTTAGAAAATTTTTTCTTCTCTTTACACGACCTCTTTTATGAAGCAGAGATGTGCTGTCCTAAATCCTGAGCTAACCACCAGGCAGTGAGAGAGCAGTGGTGGCTGCTGAAACTTCACCCAGGGCTGCAGTTCTGGCCTGGCATCAACATCAACAGCTGGAGAGCAAGCCTTGCTCTTCACCCTGCTCTCCATGTGATGGAGGCCCTGTACTCCAGGTTTCCAGAGCAGCACGTCCCATGTGCTGGAGCCAGGAGATCCAAAACCCTGTGGCTGCCTTAACTTGGTCCTACCATTTGTAACAACCAGCTTCTGTCACACTCAAGGCCAACAGGAACATTTCCATGTCATCTGAAAATTCAAATGAAAACAGTGGTTTGAAAACAGAGATGTGTTTTCCTTGCAGCATCCCTGACTGGCACAGCAAAGGAGGGCTTGGAAGTGAGGTTGAACTCAAGGATTTCCATTACCTAGGTTAACAAATGGGCAAAAAGTAAAGGCAAAACATAAAAAAGGACAACAGCATGGATTTTTTCACTTCACTTCTAATGATCTAAATGAAATAATATCACAGGCCAAAAAAAAAAAAAAAGAATCTATTTATAATTCATCTGCTCTTTTAAAATCACCCTTCTTTCTGTCTGTGTCATTTGCAGGGCTATCCCTCTTTCTCCCTGTCTCACACCTGACTGCCTCCACAGAAAACAGGGGGAAAAGTGAATCTGGAGAGTGACAGTGCTTTTGAGCCTGATCTGGCACAAATAAACAGAGCAGAAGCTTTCCCAACCTCGCTTCCAGCTCTCTCACATTTTGGTGCTGTTTTGCTTTAGTGCAGCAGTAACAGACACATTGTCTGAGTGCAATTAAGAATAATGTATACAAAGCACTCAGGATTGCCCAGCAGAAGAAAATACTGCATAATGGGCTGTCATCGCTGATCGGAAGCTAAACCCTGACCAGGGTAGACAAGTATATTTCAGCTATGACCTCACCGCAAACAGTCTCATCCCTGCGTAATTTGGGCTTGACACAAGCTGTGATCAGAAGTACCAACAGTGTGCATCACAGTCTGACCCCATCACCGAAACTCTCCCAGCTGTTCTTGACCCCTGAACTGATCCCATGGAAAGGCCAATGGAGAAGCTGATGGTGACCAACAAGGACTGTGCTGGATAACCTGGTGCTGATACAATCTCACCTGGAAGGCCCCAATGAGGGGCTCCTGTCACATCTGGGTAGGAAGAGGGGGGTTTGAATCAGAGAAGTTGACTCACAAGAAAGTATGGGCCATTCCTGCCCCACAGGAACCATTCTCACCATCTGTGTATCAGCAGTGGCTATAGCACAAACATAATCTAAATACCACATACAGGTTTCAGGCCAAACAATGAAACAAAAACTTTCCAAAACTCCATCGTAAGGGAGTGAACTGACTTGATCCATTCTCAGGCAGAAATAGCACCAACTATTCAGGTCTTATTCTTGCCAACACTGCATCGGGAAATGGAAAAAAAAAACAAAGAACCAGCGAG